ATTTTTATTGATTATTATGGCGATTATTTAGAAAAATAGATATATCGAGTGCTTTCCGGTCCTGCTAAGGTACATGTACTTTACCGAATAGCAATAATTAGTTTATGAAAGTAATAAATGATTTCCCTATTATGTGACTTTCTTTGACTTGTAATTATGTGAGTTCTAAAAGGGCTATCATTCAGTCAAATCCATACTAGAGTGATTTGTCTTTTGCATAAATATATCTCAATAAAAAATTTGTTTCAAGTGAATAATTCAGTAGTTCTGTAGATTTGTTTTGCATCAACCAGGAATTTATTTTTCAAATTAAAATTATTTAAGTTAAAGTCATGTTATACAGAAGTTCATATGTATAGGCTTTGAATGTTGAACCATATAACACAATTATGATAATGATAAGTGACATGTATGAAGTTTTAAATTCATCTACAGTAGTTGTGGTGCATCCAGTAAAATTTGCAGTTTCTGTGAAAGAAGGCTTTTCATCTTAAAACTGAAAACATGTCTGTCTGATGACTGTTTTAGGTCAATATCTAAGGTGGATTCAACTTGTACATTGATGTTGACTACTTTATTGCCCCTTGTTTAATTGGAAAAATTTTACATGCAGCATTAGTCATAAAAAAGGAATTAAACATATTCACATTGACCTTGATGTTGATTAGTATACATTTGGAAGTTACTGTTGAAAGCTTTAAATTTCTGTGTGAATTTGACTATTATATGGCCACTTGTCTCTGACATGTAAGACCCATGTGACCTTGACCTTTGAACTAGTTACCCCAAAATCATTACTGGTCATCTACTAGTTATAACCAATCATTTTGAAAAATATGAAGACTTTGTGATAAATAGTTTTCAAGATAATGAGCGAAAACCATTTTAACATTTAATGTCCGTGTGACCTTGACCAAAACTAGTGACCCCAGAATCAATTAGGGTCATCTACTTCATATAACTAATCAATATGTGAAATATGAAGACTTTGTTATAAATAGTTTTTAAGATAATCAGCGGAAACCATGTGGTATACTGACGGACAGACCGGCAGACAGACAGACCGACATTAGCATTACTATGAATGTGCAGATACTTACAGGCGAGTTTCATATCAATTAACCTTTGTAAACTAAGTATCAGTGAAAATATAAAACTAAAGTACAGTACTGAGAAAAACATATACTGGTTTCCTAGCAGTTTCCGTCCCCTAGCAGTTTTCCGGCTGTTTATCATTTTCGTCCAGTACAGTCTATTTTTGCCAGTAAGGCATCAACATTATTTCATCAATCAGAGAGGCATTTGTTTTGTAGATGCTAAACAGCATTTAAAATAGTACAACGATTGATATGTTTTGAAGTTTTGTCTGTTATTTAAAGTTACATAAGAGAACTTGCGACTTTCAAATATAAGCAACACCTGGGGAATTCAAGTTTGAATATCCATGCTCAATAACTATAAGACCCCATTTTAGGTAAATCAATACTTCGGAAAATATTGTTGCAGATTACACGGAAAAGGTTGGGAAGTTCTGTTTGTCTGATAAAACAATCTTAACATTGCTTTATGGTACTGAATTATATTCAAAATAAAAATAGGTCCGGAAAACTGCTAGGAATTTTTGAATAAAGGTGAAAAAGGTGTTACATTTCGGGCCTATATTCAAATTAAAAAGTAAAATGAAAGTGCAACATTAAACACATGGCAATGCTGGACAGGTACCTAACTTTGTCCTGTCAAAGTTTTGTACCCCTCCGTATACTGATTTTTATTTAGTTTGTTAAAAAGTGCGATTTGTGGCCGGAAACTGCTAGGAAACCAGTAAACCTAAAGAATACATCATTAAATGTTCACAAATTAAATGAATTTTTGTTACATGCATGTTAAATAAATGTTTAAACATGATTTAATCATTATAATGTATGAACTTATATTCACATTACTCCAGATGAATATATGCATATTGTACACATATATCATTCATGTATAAATGTTATGAATGCTCAATAGAACAGTAAGCTAGTGCAAAATGTTATTAATATGTGATTATTTATTAAATAAATCATTTTATAAGTAAAAAAATTAAAGTTTGAAATGAACTAAATGAAATAAACTACTATATTTTGTAGTCATAACTAGTCTGGTACTTAGACTATCATGAACATAGATAAAAGAAAACGGAAGACCATTTAGAAGTACATTTACAAACATACTGTAATTATAAAAGATGACTGTATATAGAACATCTGAAAACCAGAATCCTCACTGAAAACCAGACTTTTGGCCTTGTCCGACAGGGTCCGGTTTTCAAAGTTTTTACTGTACCAGTGGAAATATAAGAGTAAAGTACCAGTGAAAATAAAAGAGCAACAATAGATTAGAATTATACCATTTAATAATAACTGTTGGAATGAAATCATTTAATAATAAGTGTTAATTACAACTGGCATGCAAACACGATAGCCTTATTATGTTTCTGTCTTTAGATAGTAAAGGACACATTTCAGCATATGAGACTTTTCAGCATACTATCTCTCATAAATGACACATTTCAGCATACTATCTCTCATAAATGACACTTTTCAGCATACTATCTCTCATAAATGAGACTTTTCAGCATACTATCTCTCATAAATGAGACATTTCAGCATACTATCTCTCATAAATGACACTTTTCAGCATACTATCTCTCATAAATGACACTTTTCAGCATACTATCTCTCATAAATGACACATTTCAGCATACTATCTCTCATAAATGAGACTTTTCAGCATACTATCTCTCATAAATGAGACTTTTCAGCATACTTTCTCTCATAAATGAGACTTTTCAGCATACTATCTCTCATAAATGAGACTTTTCAGCATACTATCTCTCATAAATGAGACTTTTCAGCATACTATCTCTCATAAATGACACATTTCAGCATACTATCTCTCATAAATGACACTTTTCAGCATACTATCTCTCATAAATGACACTTTTCAGCATACTATCTCTCATAAATGAGACTTTTCAGCATACTATCTCTCATAAATGACACTTTTTAGCATACTATCTCTCATAAATGACACTTTTCAGCATACTATCTCTCATAAATGAGACTTTTCAGCATACTATCTCTCATAAATGACACATTTCAGCATACTATCTCTCATAGATGAGCCTTTTTAGCATACTATCTCTCATAAATGAGACTTTTCAGCATACTATCTCTCATAAATGAGACTTTTCAGCATACTATCTCTCATAAATGAGACTTTTCAGCATACTATCTCTCATAAATGAGACTTTTCAGCATACTATCTCTCATAAATGACACTTTTCAGCATACTATCTCTCATAAATGACACTTATCAGCATACTATCTCTCATAAATGACACATTTCAGCATACTATCTCTGCAACAATGATTGTATATATAACATGTATAACTAGAACTGCCACTATCATGGCGTGAATACCCCCGCATACCACTTTGTCAGAATCAACAGTGGCCATTTAGAGCTCAAGGACAACCTCCCTGCCAAATCTGAGGTTACTAAGCCAGTGCATTGCTAAGTAATGTATTCTACATGCTTCAAATGTGAAAATGTCAAAATCAATACATTGCGGACAGGACATTCTTTAGCAATTGAGAAGAAAAGCTTTTTTTTTGTCAAGGTCCCTGTGACCTTGACCTTTGACCCAGTGACCTCAAAATCGATAGGGGTCACCTTATAGTCATGATCAACATCTATGCCAAATATGAAGACTGTAGGTCAAAGAAATATTAAGTTAATGGGTGGACAAACTTTTTGAAGTCAAAGTCCCTATGACCTTGACCTTTGATCCAGTGACCTCAAAATGAAAAGGGGTCATCTACTAATCATGATCAACATCCATGCCAAATATGAAGACTGTGGGTCAAAGGAATCTAAAGTTATTGGGCAGACAAACTTTTTGAAGTCAAAGTCCCTGTGACCTTGACCTTTGACCTGGTGACCTCAAAGTGAAAAGGGGTCATCTACTAATCATGACTAACCTCCATTCCAAATATGAAGACTGTGGGTCAAAGGAATCTTAAGTTATTGGGCGGACAAGCTTTTTGAAGTCAAGGCCCCTGTGACCTTGACCTGGTGACCTCAAACTCAATAGGGGTCATCTACTAATCATGACTAACCTCCATGCCAAATATGAAGACTGTGGGTCAAAGGAATCTTAAGTTAATGGGCGGACAAGCTTTTTGAAGTCAAGGCCCCTGTGATCTTGACCTTTGACCTGGTGACCTCAAAGTCAATAGGGGTCATCTACTAATCATGACTAACCTCCATGCCAAATATGAAGACTGTGGGTCAAAGGAATCTTAAGTTATTGGGCGGACAAGCTTTTTGAAGTCAAGGCCCCTGTGACCTTGACCTTTGACCTGGTGACCTCAAAGTCAATAGGGGTCATCTTCTTATCATGACTAGCCTACATGCCAAATATGAAGACTGTGGGTCAAAGGAATCTTAAGTTATTGGGCGGACAAGCTTTTTGAAGTCAAGGCCCTTGTGACCTTGCCCTTTGACCTGGTGACCTCAAAGTGAAAAGGGGTCATCTACTAATCATGACTAACCTCAATGCCAAATATGAAGACTGTGGGTCAAAGGAATCTTAAGTTATTGGGCGGACAAGCTTTTTTGAAGTCAAGGCCCCTGTGACCTTGACCTTTGACCTGGTGACCTCAAAATCAATAGGGGTCATCTACTAATCATGACTAATCTCCATACCAAATATGAAGACTGTGGGTCAAAGGAATCTTAAGTTATTGGGCGGACAAGCTTTTTGAAGTCAAGGCCCCTGTGACCTTGACCTTTGACCTGGTGACCTCAAAATCAATTGGGGTCATCTACTAATCATGACTAACCTTCATGCCAAATATGACGACTGTAGGTCAAAGGAATCTTAAGTTATTGGGTGGACAAGAAAAAACCGCCGGACGGACGGACAAGCTGATTCCAGTATACCCCCCTTACAATTTTGTTGTGCGGGGGGGGGGGGGGGGGGGTATAATTATATTCCCAAGTCAACATGTCAGTAAATTAGAAACTGAGCTGCAATAATTAGTTTTAAGCATCTATAATCACAAAGTTATCAAGTTTTGGTAAGGATGGTGTTTTACTGAAATTTGATAGTTTATTTTGACTAGAGCTTTTCTTGACACTTGGCTTTTTAAATGGGTTTCCAATACGAATTTAATAACAAATGCATGGTATGACCTCCAAGGCTGTCAAAACCCTTCTGTACAATGCTACGTTGATTGTTACTGTGCCCACCAAGTTCACGTTTCTTAAATATATTCATGGAAGCTAATGTTGCTATAGAATTAGAACCTTTGATAGCACTCTCACTTCTGAAACGCTTCAACTTTTAAGCATTTTTCTCCGCTGCAGACGTAAATTTGAGGTATTTTGTTTGTTCTTGGTTCTCTGTGTCTTCACTATCACACGATCTTTTCTGGGATTTCCCAAGTGATCTTTTAGATAAAGCAGTATCACAGGAAGTACTGGGCTTCTCTGAATGCTCAGATTGTGTATTTTTAACAGGTGATGTGAACAAGTCTGGTGTCAAGTTCAAGTTAATATTCTGGCTGCCCTCAGGATGTTCTAATTTTGGTGTTAATGCACAACATGTCTGCATTTTCATACTCTCCAATTGCTCCCGAAATATTGCACATTGTTTTGTTAGGTCATTAATTTTCTTATTTTTCAACATATCAGTCTGTTGAATTTTCTCGTAATTTTCCTTCATTTGATGTTTTTCTAATTTCAGCTTCTCATATTCACTTTTCATCAATGTCACTTGCCTTGGCAAATGTTGGACGGCACTCCCAACTTCACCGGCACTGGAAATGATGTCATCTGCGTCAGATTCAGCGCCTTAAATAATGAGAACACGGTCTATTTTGTTTTTCATTTGACAAATAACTATAACAACAGAATTTTCTTAAAGCTTTATTTTTAGCATAAATTTAAGACTAAATTTATATTGGATTGGTCTACATTGGCACATTTTCCATCGCATTTACCATTTTTATAAATTGACATATTCAAGTTTTAAAAATATCAATTTCAATTGCTTTTGAAATAAAGTAAATCTTTTGAAATTTGCTTATTGTTATTAATTCCTATTTAACTTATTAACTTTTTTCTTAACATCAAAGACAATGCTAACATCGTTTAACGTCATTTGCTTAATGACATTAAAGCAACAGAGGTTTGGCAGTAAAAACAAGCCCATAGCAACAGAGGTTTGGCAGTAAATATAAGCCCATAGCAACTGAGGTCTGACAGTAAATGCATGCCTATAGCAACAGATGTTTGGCAGTAAATATAAACCCATAGCAACAGATGTTTGGCAGTAAATATAAGCCCATAGCAACAGAGGTTTGGCAGTAAACACAAGCCCATAGTAACAGAGGTTTGGCAGTAAATACAAGCCCATAGCAACACATGTTTGGCAGTAAATATAAGCCCATGGCAACAGAGGATTGGCAGTTAAAACAAGTCCATGGCAACAGAGGATTGGCAGTTAAAACAAGTCCATAGCAACAGAGGTTTGGCTGTAAATACAAGCCCATAGCAACATGTGTTTGGCAGTAAATATTGTTTGGCAGTAAATAAAAGCCCATAGCAACAGAGGATTGGCAGTTAAAACAAGTCCATAGGAACAGAGGTTTGGCAGTGCCAATGAGATAAAAATTGCCTTTTTTGTATTGATGGTTCTTATAAAGTTTTGTTGAAATCAATCCAGCAGTTGCAAAACAATAGCAATATTGCTCTATATGCATACAATATAAATAATCAAGGTCCATGTTCCTGTGATGAAGGGTCTGACCGGAACAAGGAAACAATATGCCCATCTCGTCTTGGTATTAATGGTCCCATAAAGTATTATTGAACTCCCAGTAATTGCAGAAAAATAGCACGGAAACGATTCTTGCTCTATATGCGTACCCCATAACTAATGAAAAGCCAAAACCCTTTGTTGAAGGGTCTGACCGGAACAAGTCGACAAAAAGCCCATCTCGTCTTGGTAATAATGGTTCCTATAAAGTTTCGTGCCAGCCAGTAGTTGCAGAGAAGTAGCACCGAAACGATTTTTGCTCCATATGCATACTGCATAACTAATCAAGAGCCATAACTCTGTGTTGAAGGGTCTGACCGATATGCGCATCTCCTCTTAGCGTTGAAGTTTCATTGAATTCCAGATTATTTGCAGAATGAAATTTGGGAGGATGAATGGATTGACAGACGAAAGGACAGACAGAGAACGCTAAAACAACATCCCCCTCCTAATTCCATAGCAACATAGATTGGGCAGTAAATACATGTATAAGCCAATTGCAAGAAAGCTGAATGAAACCCCAAAGCAAAAGAGGTTTACTAGTAAATACAAGCCCATAACAAGAGCTGTATCAGTGATCACATATGTTGTTTAATGATAGCCAATTGCATGTTGTAGCTTCTGTGAAGCAGAAGGCACAAAAATTAACATGGTAAAACACATTTTTTTTATCCAAGAGGCATAACTCTGCAAAATATGATCAATCAACAAGAAAGCCCGTGTATTATGCTAAGATCAATCCTGTAGTTTCATTGAAATTACATTAGTGGTACAAGAGGAGTAGTCTGGTTAAACTTTAACTAGGCAGTCAGTGTGACCTTGACCTGAGGTAGTCCAAAACTGTGCTCTGCACATCATCTACGTAATATAAATATTTCTGCCATTTCATACTATCAGTTTAAAAGAAATAGAGCGGCCACAAAATTTTGAAATTGATACAAAACGACTAAGTGTGACCTTGACCTAGACCTGAGGAAGGTCAAACCTATGCTCTGCACATCTTCTAATTATGATTAACATTTCTGCCAAGTAGTATCAATTTCTTAATACCGGTTCAAAAGATACAGACCAGACACAAAAACTCCAATCGGGCTATGTAAGTCTTTATAAATCAATTAATGCCCAGGTTGGGGTCAATTTTGATCTAAGGAAGTCAAAACTTGTGTTCTGCACACCGTCTTAATATAAGTAATATTCCTGCCAAAAAGTTTAAATTACTTTCTATTTGTTCAGAAGTTACAGAGCGGACAAAAATTTTTGATATTGAAACAAAATGACTGTGACCTAGATGTTGACCTGAGAAAGGTCAAACCTGCGCTCTGCACATTGTCTCATTATGGTTAACATTTCTTCCAAGTAGTTTGAATTTCCTTCCTCTGTTTCAAAAGATACAGACAAGACAGGAAAACTCCTATATAAGTCTATATAAATCAATTAATGCCTTGGGCAGGGCCAATTTTGATTGTATGAAGTCCAAACTTATGTTCTGCACACCGTCTCAATATAAGCAATAGTCCTCCCAAAAAGTTTTAATTTCTTTCTATCTCCTGCCAAAAAGTTTTAATTTCTTTCTATCTGTTCAAAAGATACCTAGCGGACAAAAAAAATTGATATTGAAACAAAATGACTGAGTGTGACCTTGACCTAAGAAAGGTCAAACCTGTCCTCTGCACATTGTCTCATTATGGTTAACATTTCTGCCAAGTAGTTTCAATTTCCTATAACCAGCTCAAAAAATACAGACGGGGACAAGAAAACCTGCTAACAGACAGATGGACGGACAGACAACCTGAGGTGCATAACAATATACGCAAAATTCTTTCGGGCGTATAATCAATAATAATAAAATCAAACCATCAAGCAGGACTTTAAGGCTCTGTAGTGATAGTGTCACTAATGACTGTTTGATTTTATGGTACTCCTGTCGTTCCAGATCAAAGGCTTTCTGTTGGCTCTCATAATACTTCAATGTCTTCAGATGAGCACTGACTTTAGTCTGTTCCTCTTTAAGCAGCTTAGACATTCTATCTCTAGCATTCTGTAGCTCCTCAATCCTTTCATCTTGTTTCCCCTTTTCCTTCACTATATCATTTTTTTCTTTTTCTCTTTTCCTAACCTGTTTTAAACATAATTTACTACATTAAGTTCACCATAAGTGATTTGATAAACATTCATTAATATGTTAAATATATAAAATATAATATGAAATGCACCACAGATTTTTTTTCCACACCTATGCCATAATTAACCTAATAAATGCACCATTATCTTTAAAAAAAAAAAGGCAAAAAAAACTAAAAAACAAAACAAGAACATGTTGGTTAAACACAAATGCCCCCTCAATAACAATATTTCAAACCATTCAATCAGTTAAGGATAGTCAGAGCATTTTGTAATTGTGAAAAATATTAGTTGGCAAGTCATTGCAAGTTATGATGATCCTTTCAAATATGAAAAATATCAGTAAAAAAATAAAGGCTGTTTCAGCAAATGTGTAGAAATCATTCAATCGGAGAGAGAATAGCATGCAAGTAATCTTCCAACTAGATATGAAAGACATCTGTCCATAAATAAAGGACATATGGGCAAAAATGAGGAATTTTTTTTTCTAGCACTGATGACCTTGACCCAACTAACCCCTAACTCAATCCAAAGGAAGAAGACCATGCAAGTTAACTAAAAAAAACATCAGTCAAAAAGTAAAGGCTGTATAAGCAAACATGTAGAAATCGCTTTTTCGCATCTTTGACCATGACACACTGACCCCTACACCTCAATCAAAAGGAAGAAAATCATGTAAGTTATCTTCCTATCAAATATGAAATTTCTGTCATTAAATAAAGACTGTATCGACAAAAGTGTAAAAATCTATTTTTAGCACTGGTGACCTGACCCAACCAACCCCTACCTTAATAATTGGAAGATTGCTCAGCAAGTTATTTCCTACCAAATATGAAAGACATCTGTCCATAAATAAAGGTTGTATGAGCAAAAGTTTAAAATCTATTCTTAGTACTGGTGAGCATGACCCAACTGACCCCTAACTCCATCCGAAGAAGAAAAAAAACCCCAGTTTTATGTTCTTACAAAATATAAGAGAATATAATATAAACTAGAAATGTGTCCATAGGACACGGGTGTCCCCACCGCGCCACTGTTCTGTCAATCTTATGACTCTAGGTCAAATATTTTTTGAAAACTAAAAATCTTTTACTTAGTAAAGGGCAAGAACTTTACATTTACTGAATAAATCCACAAGCAAACCCCAAGGTGCATAAGTACACATGCTGACCAACATTCTTGTAAACTTTCAGGCCTACAAGTGAAATACTTTTTGAGCTATGCATGAACAAGTTGAAAATTGCAAATTTATACTACTGTAAGTCAAGGGCAATAACTCTAACAAAACTGAAAAAAATCCAGATGAAAAGTCCTAGGTTCATAGCTTCACAGTGATGTGAATCATTATTTCTGTAATTTAGTGATGTTGCTCATTATTCCTGTAAAGTTGGTTGATTCTAACTCAAGCACTCAAGGAACAAATAACAACATAATGAAACAGTTTTTACTAAGTCAAGGGAAATAACTCCACAAATAATAGATAAATCCACAAGTGAAACCCCAGGTGCAAAACTAAATATGCTGGGCAACCTTTCCGTAAGGTTTCATATTTCTATGTCAAATCCTTTTTGAGTTACATGCGACACAATTTGAAAATTGCAAAATTTTACTATGTCAAGGGCAATAACTCTAAAAATACTAAAAATATCCAGACAAAAATACCCAGGTGCAAAACTACACATGCTGATCAACATTCCTGTAAAGTTTCATGACTCTCTGTCAAATCCTTTTTGAGTTACATGCAACACAATTTGAAAATTGCAAAATTTTACTAAGTCAAGGGCAATAACTCTAAAAATACTAAAAATATCCAGACAAAAATGCCCAGGCGCACAATTGCACATGCTGATCAACATTCCTGTAAAGTTTCATGACTCTAGGTCAAATACTTTTTGAGTTACATGCAACACAAGAGAATGGACGAACGGAAGGAGGGACGGACACACGGATGGACAAGGGTTAATCTAAATGCCCGCCACTAAAGTGGGGGCACAAAAAGTAAAAATCTGCGGGCACAAAAAGTAAAAACTGCAGGCAAAGGTCAAGATCACACATAGGGGTCAAAGTTCAGATAAAATATGAATTTGGACAATTTAGTAATCATTTATTGAGGGATTGAAACACAAATGGTCATTTTATGACTACTGGTGTGAAAAATGTAATTTAGGTTAATATATACAAGGTCAAGGTCACTAAAGATGATAAAATATAGAAATTTTGTCCAGAGCATATCTCCTCAATGTAAAGGTTAAGGTCACACTTAGAGGTCATTCAAAAATGCTTGTTTGATGTCAAATTTCTACATTCATCAGGGGATTTTAATGTACTTTGGCACAAATGTTCAAAATTGTGAGGCTTATTGCGCATATAATACAGGCCCCTACTACCAAAGTCAAGGTCATATTGAATGGTCAAAGATTGTGAACGGGGACCATTTAGTCATCAATTATTGATGGATTGTAACACAAATGATAACTACCATGACTACAAGTGTGATACATATAATTAAGGTTAATATTTGCAAGGTCAAGATCACTAGAGATGATAAATATCAAGATATTTTCAGGTGAGCATATCACCTATATGCATATCTATAATGCCCACATTTCTGTCAAAAGCTTTTGTGATGGGCATATATTGCGACAATGTTGCCCTTGTTTAGTTATGTATAAATACTATAAATGATTCTCAGTGCAAGTCCGTCTTACACATCTTGAAATATATAACACTATGTTTACCTATGTCTGGCTATCGCAACTATATAACAAGGGCAACATTGTCGCAATATACGCCTGTCACAGAAGCTTTTGACAGAGCGTATAGTAGATATGCTCTGGGCAATATCCGGAAAATACCTGGATATATTATCATCTCTAGTGATTTTTTTATCTGAACTTTGACCCCTTTGTGCCAAGTTATACTGAAATCCCTGTATGCCTGTAAAAGTTTTGCTCCGGACAATCATTTATGTGACCTTGAACTTTGACCTAGCTAGAGACGGTGGTAGTCTGTTCATGTGCGTGACACAATCTCTCATAGTGGTGAACATTTGTATGAGGTTTCATTAGAATCCCTATATATGTGTAGGAGATATGCTCTGGAAAAAATCTTTATATTGTATCATTTTTAGTGACCTTGACAATCATCTTTAGTGACCTTGACCCTGCATATATTAACCAAAATGACATGTTTCACACCAGTAGTCATGATAATGACCATTTGTGTTTCAATCCCCCAATAAATGATGACTAAATGGTCCCAATACACATTATTTTCATCTGAAATTTGACCTCTATGTGTGACCTTGACCTTGGCAGCAGGGACCTGAATTTTGCACACGGTACCCGCTTCACAACAGTGAACATTTGTGCCAAGTTATATTGAAATCTCTCTATGCAAATAGAAGTTTTGCTCTGGACAAAAGTTTTTTTTCTATGACCTCCAAATGTGACCTTGACCTTTTCCTAGAGACCTGGTTTATGCACATGACATGACTTCTCATAGTGGTGAACATTTGTATGACGTTTCATTAGAATCCCTCAATATGTGTAGGAGATATGCTCTGGACAAAATCTCTGTATTTCATCATCTTCAGTGACCTTGACAATCATCTTTAGTGACCTTGACCCTGCATATATTAACCCAAATTACATGTTTCACACAAGTAATTATGATAATAACCATTTGTGTTTAAATCCCTCAATAAATTATGACTAAATGGTCTCAATACTCATTTTCATGTTTTTATCTGAACTTTGGCCCTTATGTGTGACTTTGACCTTGGCAGCAGGGACCTAAATTTTGAAGCGACACTCTGCTTCACAATAGTGAACATTTGTGCTAAGTTATATTGAAATCCCTCTAAGCATGTAGAAGTTTTGCTCCGGACAAAGTTTTTTAATGACCTCTAAGTGTGACCTTGACCTAGAGGGCTGGTTCACACGCGTGACACAGCTTCTCATAATGGTTAACATTTCTAGACTATGAAGGTTCATAACAATTCCTTCATGGGTGTAGGAGATATGCTCCAGACAAAAATTGGATGCCGCCAGCCCACCAGGGAGGAAACTATAATACAAACCGTTTTTTAAACGGGCATATAAAAAGCTTAGATACTTGTGACCTCCAGTTTTCAAGTTCACTTATTTCAAACTAAATAATATTTACCTCCAACTTTAGTTTATCTAATTTTAAACTATTTAACATTTACCTCAAATATAAGTCTATATATCTCATTTTAAAAAATATAATCACATAATTATATAATTATGTGTTTCTTTTTTAAACAAAATAATATATTAATAATTTACCTCTAATTTAAGTCTGTCTATCTCATTTTGCAGCTTTCCATCATCTACAATACCATCATTATCTTCAGGTACATCAAAATATAATCTGTAAGTATATTATAGATACATGTATCATCAAATGACTTGAAACATTTATTACACATTATTATATGATCTAAAAATAGTTACAGCCTCATTTTTTCAAAACAGCTGTCAACATAACAAATCATATTCACTGGGTGTAGTATCATATTTACTGGCTGAAATGGATTTCCCAATCTAAAAATAGAATCATATTCAATAACCATACAGCAAAGACAATTAACTGTGCATACTTCACAAGATATTTACGCATTATAAGGTGAAGTATCATATTCACTAGCTAAATTTTCCATATTTAAAATAAAATCAGACTCATATTCATTGATCATATAGAACAGATTGTTAAAAATTGGAGCATTTGTTCTCTATGGCATATATCTTGATTCAAAAATCAATTTACTACACAATAATAAGTAAAAATTACCCCGCCATGATAAGTACATTGAAAAATTGTTTTTTAATATTAGGCTTTACTTTCATGTGTGTGTGTATTTTTACCTTAGACTGACCATATAATAAAACAATTATTGACTAATGATCCATTGAATTTGATGTGATAATAGATTTCACCGGCAAAATGTCATATTGAGCTTGGCTGTTGCTTCGGTCTCTAGGACATTTACTTGTTGATGTCACATCATATTCAATGGCTCACTAGTCAATAATTGTATAATATTGCACTTTTAAAATTCAACAAGAATTAGTAACAGAATTACCAACATCCCCCCCCCCCCCCCCCCCAAGGAAATTTTACATGAAACAAAAAATTGTGCTATTTCTAAAGATTGATGTATGGATCTGGACTTTCAGTGCAAAATTTGGATCAATGCTAGATCTGCACAATTGCCAGGAACAACTAGAACTATCGCTGAATGCGATTCATACCCCCACCAATGTCCTTGACAGAAGACGACTTGGAAAGGTGGTTAAGGGAATAACTTAAGTGGCACAAATACATAAAAAGAAATTATCTCTGGTGAAAAAAGACAACTTGTACAGGTAATAGTATAAATACATATTATCAAATCGTGTTCGAAACAGTTACAAATTACCTTTCATTTTCCCAATGAATAAACATTTTATTTATAAGTCAATTTTTGACCTTCAAGTGTGGCCTTGACCTTTATCTGGCACAAGGGTAAGATGGGTTTTGCACATCGTCCAGTTGGGGTGAACATTTGAGTAAAGTTTGAAGAAAATTCTTCCATTAGTATAGAAATTATAGAGTGGACACAACATATTGTCTAGTATTGATTGTATGCAAATTTGAAGACTTAAAAAGGGGCATAACTTTGTCAAAATGCAATACAGAGTAATGAAACTTGACCTGCATATCTTATTTGCAACACCTCATATATCTTTTAAGTTTCAAGCAAATACCAGTGCTAGTGTCAGAAATATTCAAGTACATGTTAAAATTTAAGAACATTTTTCTAAGTCAATTTTTGACCTTCACGTGTGACCTTGACCTTTAGCCAGCACAAAGGTAACATAGATTGTGCACATAACCTTGTTTAGGTGAACATTTGAGTAAAGTTCGAAGAAAATTCACCCATTAGTATAGGATTTATAGAGTGGACACGACATATTGTCTAGTATTAATTGTATGTAAATTTAAGGACTTAAAAGGGGCATAACTATGTCAAAATGCAATACATATTTATGAAACTTGACTGCATATCTTATTTGACACCTCATATATCTTTTAAGTTTCAAGCAAATACCAGTGCTAGTTTCAGAAATATTCAAGTACATGTTAAAATTTAAGAACATTTTCTAAGTCAATTTTTGACCTTCAAGTGTGACCTTGACCTTTAGCCGGCACAAAGGTGACATGGATTCTGCACATCCCCTTGTTGAGGTGAACATTTGAGTAAAGTTTGAAAAATTCTTCCATTAGTATAGGATTTATAGAGCGGACACAACATATTGTCTAATATTTTATTGTATGGAAATTTGAAAAAGGGGCATAACTTTGTTAAAATGCAATACACAGTTATGAAACTTGACAAACATATCTTAATTGTGACACTTGTATATTTCAAGTTTCAAGCAAATACCTTTTCTAGATTAAGAAATATTCAAATAGATGTTAAAATTTAAGAATATTTTCTAAGTCAATTTTTGACCTTCAAATGTGACCTTGACCTTGAGCCGGCAAAAGGTTAACATGGATTCTGCACATCCCCTTGTTGAGGTGAACATTTGAGCCAAGATTTAAGAAAATCTTTCAATTAGTGTAGGATTTACAGAGCGGACACGACATACTGTATATTTGATTGTTTGATATTTGACCTTCAATTGTGACCTTGACCTTGAGCTGACACATGGGCAACATGGGTTCTGCACATCCCCTTGATGAGGTGAACATTTGAGCCAAGTTTGAAGAAAATCCTTCAATTGGTATAGGAGTTATAGAGCGGACACGAAAAGAGAGATGGACCAACGGACGGACGGACTGACCGACCTACGCGACAAAGCGAATCCATTATAGCCCCTCCCACATTTTGTGGTGGGGGTATAATAAATTTATTAAAGAAATATAATGAAATAACTCCTATGCATGTGTCAACAGAAATAACATTTGTATACAAAATGTCATAAATACAAAATCAATACAGGATATGGTCTGTTACAGGGTATAGTTTGTGCCAAGTCATCAATCAAGGTATGTGGGCAATTCACCAATGACATTAATTTTATTTGCATGGGTCTGACTTGTCCAAGTTTTTTTAAAATCCCTTGATTGATGAAAAAGATATATAACGCACACAAAATATACCCTAGAACAGAGATTTAAGCACTCAAGTATGACTTTGACATTGAAGGTAGGAGTCTGGCTGTTGCATTTGACACATGGTCCTATTATTGTGAACATTCCTGCCAAGTAATTTCTCAAAGACCTTTGAACAATAAAAAGATTATGGACTGCACACAAAATATTCCCTATAAAAGATCATGTTAGACTTTGACCTTTAAGCCTGACATTGACCTTGGAGGAAAGGGTCCGGGTGCATGACACAACGTCTTATTATTGTCAATATTTATGCCAAAATCCCTTGATGGATGAGAAAGTTATGCACTGGAAACAAAATATACCTTTCAACAGACTATGTTTATCTTTGACCTCCAACTGTTACCTTGACCTTGGAGGTAGACAAGTCACAATTGGTTCTTGCTCATGACACATTGTCTTATTATTGAGAACATTTGTGCTAAATAATTTCAAAATCTCTTCAAGGATAAGGAAGTTGAGGACTAGACACAATATACACCCTCAAATAGACAATGTTAACTTTTAATCACCAAGTGTGACCTTGACCTCGGAGGTAGTGGTCCAGTTGTTGCGCATCACACATTGTCTTATTATAACAAACATTTGTGTCAGGTTATTTCAAATTCCTTTGATAAATGACGTAGTTATGAATGACATGAAAATGTGACCGACAGACGGAACCAGTATTTCTATATCCCCATTTTTTCTTCAGAAGGGCAACAATTAGCCAAATTTTAGCAATGTTTTGAGCTGTCCTCCACCTAATTGCAAGATATTTTATTGGCTAGATCTTGCCACACGGTCATAAAAGCATGAACCCCTCACTTTTTCTCTACATGCTCTAAGAAAATGATGCTTGCAGTATTATAAATTCGATATAAAGATTGCTGACATTATTAGTTATAAAGATTGTTGAAAGGTTATATGGCCCTATATAAATAGCTATTTTTAAATATAACTTGAGTCGTTAGGCAAACAGCCGTTTATTTACGGCCATATAACCAGTCAACAATCTTTTTAACTAATAATAACAAGAGCTGTCGGTAGGACAGCATGCTCGACTATTCTAAGTGCTTGATAGTAAAAGATCCTTGATAATGTTAAATTTTTTAAGTTCACAAAAGGGCTAATTTTTTTTTATAAATTCATGTTATAGGCCATAGAGAGAGTCTAATTATACAGAATTGGCTTGACTTATTATTCGGAAGGTAATGTCACAAGGGTTTTTTATTGAGTATTATAATACTAATGTAACCTATGAATACATAAATTTGACAGAAAAGGTACAAAGGCTAAAATGTTATTAAGATGTTTTATCAAGTAAATCACTGCTTTATTATTATGAATGCATAAAATTGTCCCAAAAAAGGCACAAACCCTTCAGTAGTTATTGAGATAACAGCTTACAAGCAAAACTTTACCATGAATTTCTAAGTTGAAAAAGGGGAGAAAAATCAGCCTAAATGCAAGATAGAATTATGGATCTTTGTCAGTGACCTACAATTATGACCCTAAATGCATATGTGAAGTTTTAAATAAATATCTTTAATAGTTATTGAGATATGTAAAACTTGCATGTAAACATTAACCAAGAGACTAAGTAGAAAAGGGGATTTGAATCAGCCTTAATGCAAGATAGAGTTATGGAACTTGGTCAGTGACATACAATTATGACCCTCTAATTATGACCCTAAGTGCATGTGTAAAGTTTCAAGTAAATATCTTTAAAGACCTTTAACCTTTAACCAAAATTTCTAAGTTAAAAAGGGGCAAATAATTCTGCAAATATTGCAGACAGAGTTATGCAATTTTGCAAACTGATGTACATTGTTACTATAAATAAGTATTTTAAATTTCAAATGAATATCTCAAGCAATAATTGAGATATTTGACTTTACAAAAAAACTTAAACCAAAATTTCTAAGTTCCAAAGGGGCATAATTCTGTCAATATTGTAGGCAGAGTTATCCAACTTGTCAATCTGATGTACCTTGTTACTATAAATAAGTATTGTAAGTGTCAATTGAATATCTCAAGCAATAATTAAGATATTTGACTTTACAAAAAAACTTTAACCAAAATTTCTAAGTTAAAAAGGGGCACAATTCTGTCAATATTGTAGGCAGAGTTATCCAACTTGTCAATCTGATGTACCTTGTTACTATAAATAAGTATTGTAAGTTTCAATTGAATATCTCAAGCAATAATTGAGATATTTGACTTTACAAAAAACTTTAACCAAAATTTCTAAGTTAAAAAGGGGCATAATTCTGTCAATATTGTAGGCAGAGTTATCCAACTTGTCAATCTGATGTACCTTATTACTATAAATAAGTATTGTAAGTTTCAATTGAATATCTCAAGCAATAATTGAGATATTTGACTTTACAAAAAACTTTAAACAAAATTTCTAAGTTAAAAAGGGGCATAATTCTGTCAATATTATAGGCAGAGTTATCCAACTTGTCAATCTGATGTACCTTGTTACTATAAATAAGTATTGTAAGTTTCAATTGAATATCTCAAGTAATAATTGAGATATTTGACTTTACAAAAAACTTAAACCAACGCAGACGCTGATGCCGACGCCGGGGCAACTACAATAGCTCTCATATTCTTCGAATAGTCAAGCTAAAAACTGATATTACAAATTTATCATCATTCAAACATCAGACATTTTTTTACATTGATGAAATGACAAAAGCTATGAAAAGATTGCATTTGGTGAAGCAGAGAGGTGGAGAACAATAGATGGTAAAGCAATTAATGAGGCACTCATTGTGAGGTTGGTGTGGCACTTAGTGTACACCATCCGTTATCACCAGAGCCTTGACAAAGCATCAGCAGTATGGTATACCCAGGAGGATGCATGGCAGACACAGACAATGGGTGATGACAGCAGCTCAAAATTGATTCTTGATTATCCAGGTGGTTCGCAACAGCAATGCAGATGGTGCATAGTATGATAGAAAGTCAAAAGAGGGTAATCTGCAATCAAGAAGACCCTGTATAAGAATTCCATTCACTCATCATGACCTCCAGCTTTAGGCTCGTTTGGACTGGGCAAGGGAGCATGTTAGATGGACCAGACAAATCTGGAGACATGTTGTCTCTTTACTGATGAGTCTAGGTTTTGCCCTGACTTTACTGACAGACATGCCAGAGTCTGGAGAACACCTGGGCAAAGGTTTCAAGCTTGAAATTTTGCTAAGCATGAATGCTATGGTGTGGGTCAGTTATGGTGTGGAGAATCAGCTGGGATGGACTGACTGACCTTGTTGTGCTAAATGAAGGTACAAAGAAGGGTCAGCAATTTACCTGTGTTAGAAACCTTATAGGGGCACAAGGTGTATCATTGCAGTTGTCTTTAGCAATGGGTCACAAAAATGCTTCTGAGTCTGAACTAAACATAAATGAGGTTGTCAAAATTTAGAAAACAAGTTCTGTATCCAAAAATCTTAGCTATAGGGGTTTCTCCTTCTTCTTTAACACATAACTAATGCAAAGTCAGTAAAAACAATTTTAAATTTGTTCTTCAATTAAACTAATTAAACATGAAGTTGACATTGAAAATCTATTGTATGAAAGTTATAAAATCCTTGCCGAAATATTGACAATAAAACATTTGGTATTTATTTGTACAACTTATTTGTACAACAAAATTCAGACAAAATTTACAACCAAAACAATATTTACCAACCATCAAAATTACAACACGATTTCTGTCACCACTGAATTACCCTATTTTTTTATCAATCACCACTCGGAGATTACCATATCCATTACTAACAGATATGTCACCACTAAATTACCATATCCGTTACTAACAAATCTGTCACCACTAAATTACCAAATCTGTCACTTATAGATCTGTCACCACCAAATTACCATATCCATTACTAACATATGTGTCAGCACTAAATTACCATATCCATTACTAACAGATCTGTCACCACTAAATTACCATATCCATATCTGTCACCACTAAATTAGCATATCAGTTACTAACAGATCTGTTACCACTAAATTACCATATCCATTACTAACAGATGTGTCAGCACTAAATTACCATATCCATTACTAACAGATGTGTCAGCACTAAATTACCATATCCATTACTAACAGATGTGTCAGCACTAAATTACCATATCCATTACTAACAGATGTGTCAGCACTAAATTACCATATCCATTACTAACAGATGTGTCAGCACTAAATTACCATATTCATTACTAACAGATGTGTCAGCACTAAATTACCATATCCGTTACTAACAGATGTGTCAGCACTAAATTACCATATCCGTTACTAACAGATGTGTCAGCACCAGAGCTGCATTACTGGTACTGGTACTGCAGTACATACTGCAGCGATTTTGCAAGTACTGGTACTGATACTGAATTACTCTTCCAAAATTTTGCTACTACTGGTACAGGTATTGCATTACTGTCTTAAAATGTGGTACTGCTACTGCATTACTATGCAGTACTTTTGGTTTTGATAAAAATAGCATCAATTTTTCTCATAAAATAAAGCTGTAAATTACATTATTTTATTTTTGTAAAAAAGGAAGTTATCAAATCTATAGATAATTTGCTGCAATATTCCTTAAATGTTAACATAGTATTCATCATAAAAAAAGCACCAAAGACTTTAAGTAAAAATTAAATTGAGATAAACATGTAGACTCAATAACTCTTTACCGTAAAATATCCTTATTAAAATCTTTTATTACTTTGTATTTACTAGTAAAAGAGTAAAATAATCACTAATGAATTGCTTCTATTCAAAATAATCCTATTTCAAGTGATATTATCAGCACCATAAAAAGTTGTTATTTACATGTACTTTGGTATAAATTGAGGCGTGAAAGGCAACAAAAGACTGTTGTGTTTTAAATAAAAGATGATTGCATTGTATTACAGTTGACTGGTTACTAAACAATAAGACATGAATATATGTTGTAAATATTGTTTGTAAAAAGTATGTTAAAACTATAAAGTTGTAAAAATGTTATGTTAACTTTAAAGTAAATTATGATTTTATTTCTTTGCTGAATAATATTTGCAATTATTTGTTTGACACTGTATTTATTCAAACTTTGATGAATATATAGAAGTAATGGTACTGGTACTTAATTACTTCACTAAAAAAAGTACTGGTACTGCAGTACCAAGCTAAAATCTAGTACTGGTACTGGTAATGGTACTGCATAATTTGCCAAGTACTGGTACTTAAGTACTATACCCTTATTACTGATGCAGCTCTGGTCAGCACTAAATTACTTTATTCATTACTAACAGATCTGTCACCACTAAATTACCATATCCATTATTGTTAGATGTGTCCGCACCAAATTACCATATCACTTACATACATATCTGTCAGCACTTAAATTACCATATCCATTACAAATAGATCTGTCACCACTAAAGTACCATATTCATTACTGTTGGTTTATACAAAATTTATTTTAGTTCGATTGTGTAGGAAGCTATTAGCTTATAAACTTTTGAATCCGTTCCTGGAACCAACCAGTACTGAGCAATGAGTGTAAAGTTTCTTGCTCAAGGAAACAACAACTTGCCCCTGTCAGGGTTTGAACCCATGCGGCTAGCGTTCATCAGATAACTAGTCCGAAAGCGTTAACCACTCCGCCATGCGGCCACTTAATTCATTACTGTTAGATAGTGATATTATTAATAATACCTTTCAATGATCTTTTTCTTATCAACCTGTACACGACAGCTAGGGCATGTCCTACCATTTTCTAACCACTGGTTCAAACAATGATTATGAAATGTATGACCACAACTAATCGCCGATATCACCTGCAAACAAATAGCTCAAATATCAACAATACATTATTACATGATGAAAATTGTATAACATGTCAAAACTTCCATAATTCATTTATAAATTAGACAAAATCATTATCATTTGTATAACTTTTTAAGTCTGCCTATGGTTCATTTCAGGAAGGCTTTGTTAAAATATACAAAATGCTTTGTGGGGATATGTTGTTGAATAAATTGTGGATAGTCATGGCAACATGGTCAGATGGCATTTGTCTTTTTAAAATTATGACTTTACAAAACGATACATAAGCTACCTACAATCTCATTCTTAGCAAATTTCTAGTTATTGTCTGGATACCATTTTTCTATTTTTAGTAACAATGACCTTGACCCAAGGACTGACTCCTACATATAAAATTATATATATAATTTTATTTATTATATATCCCTGATCGTCATTCTTTAACAGTTCTTGACAAATTATACATTGTGCCCACATTGTGTATCTAAAAATAATTAAAAAGAAATTATTATGATATATGTACATACTTATTTGCTGTTTAGAGATACTTCTTATTTATAATTAAACACATTTTTCTCAAATGAAATACATTGTATAATCAGTTTTGTTCGTTTGTCAGATTTAAAACACACAAACACAGTATAAAGGTCAGATGGCAACTTTCTAGCTTTAGTGGCGGAAAAACACCTCAGGTGCCCCTTCATGATTTTTTTTTACACAAGTGGGAAAATCAGAGTAGAACCCATTCAACAACAGATATTCTGAAAGCTAGCATGAAAAAATCCTGCCAGGATTTGAACCCACAGTGGTTAGGGGCAAGTGATTTGAAGTCAACAAACTTAATTACTTGGCCATGGATGCCCAATTATTTGGCTTGGTCTTAAGTCATGCTGGCAAAATACATGGATTACTGAGTCAGAACTCCAAGTTTCATGTTGATAAATTTCTTTCCATCACATATTACACTTTTTCTCTCGTCGATTCTTGACTGTTATATTGAAATATTGCACATGCGCAACAAATAGCAGAAGCACATATTGGTATCGAAGCAATATCCGACGGTTAGTAGTATCCGATAATACAGTTATTTTTAATTACTGTAACTCTTGATAATTGAAGGTGAGTTTTTTTCAGAAACTCTTCAAAAATGAATCATTATATTAATTTAAGATGGACTTTACTATCATTTAAAAAGCTACAAGTATTGTAGAATGAATGTTCTCTTTGTCTAGTGGTCATTCCATATTTTCCAACAAGAAATAAAACAAAAGCCTGTCATGTCATGTTTCCTATATAAATTATATTAATATGTAATTTTAAATATGACTGTCCATGAAAAACATTACTTACCTTTGAAATTTATATGAAACTAAAACTATCACTGAATGTGATTAATACCCCCACAAGACTGCTTCCGAAATGAGGATGCTACTAGTAACAGAATACCTTGTAAAAGAATTGAAATATAGAGTTATGGTTGTGGGCAAGTAAAGATAGTTGTGGTTCTTGTATGTTGCATTTCCTTTCAATGTGGTTGGCCATTGATGAAGTTTTATTGAATTATTCTGTAATAAGTCCAGAAAGACAATGAAAAGGAACAAAGGGCAATGACTCTATAAATACTGAAGATGGAGTTATAGTTCTTGCGCACTGCACTTCCTCTTAATGTGCTTGACCATTGTATGAAGTTGTTTTGAATTCCAACCAGTACCTTTTAAGTTATGCTCCGGACAAGGAAAAGTATCAAAGGGCAGTAACTCTGTATTTTGTCAAAATGGAGTTATGGCCCTTGTGCACTGCAATTCCTTTTAATTCCCTTGACAACTGTATGAAGTTGTATTGAATTCCAAACAGTAGTTTTCAAGTTATGCTCTGGACAAGGAAAAGTAACAAAGGGCAATAACTCTGTAATTAGTCAAGATGGAGTTATGGTTCTTGTGCACTGCACTTCTTCTCAATGTGCTTGACCATTGTATGAAGTTATATTGAATTCCAACCATTAGTCTTCAAGTTATGCTCCGGACAAAAAAAGCACTGGAAAAGTAACAAAGGGCAATAACTCTGTAATTAGTCAAGATGGAGTTATGGTTCTTGTGCACTGCACTTCCCCTTATTGTGCTTGACCATTGTATGAAGTTGTTTTGAATTCCAACCAGTAGTTTTCATGTCATTCTCTGGACAAGGAAAAGTAACAAAGAGCAGTAACTCTGTAATAAGTCAAGATGGAGTTATGGTTCTTGAGCACTGCACTTCCTCTCAATGTGCTTGACCATTGTATGAAGTTATAATGAATTCCAACATTAGACTTCAAGTTATGGTCCAGACAAAAGAATGCAATGGAAAAGTAACAAAGGGCAATAACTCTGTAATTACTTTAGATAGAGTTATGGTTCTTGTGCACTGCACTTCCCCTTATTGTGTTTGACAATCGTATGAAGTTGTCAGTTGTTTTCAAGTTATGCCCCGGACAAGGAAGAGTAACAAAGGGCAATAACTCTGTAATTAGTCAAGATAGAGTTATGGTTCTTGTGCACTGCACTTCCTCTCAATGTGCTTGACCATTGTATGTAGTTATATTGAATTCCAACCATTAGTCTTCAAGTTATGCTCCGGACAAGGAAAATGCAACAGACGTCTGGACCGACCGACCAACCGACCACTGGGTGACTCCTATATACCCCCCAAACTTCGTTTTTGGGGGTATAACCATTGAAGTCAAACATATCCTTAAAATATCATAAAGTCAAAATCTTATCAAAGTCCCACAAAAATCTCACAAATATGTTACTTGACAATAGGACAAACAAAGCCTATCTTTGGAGATGGATACCTGTTACTTTGTCGATCTTCCTCAGCCTGACTATAACCGTGATCCATAACATTGGCTGAGGTCGCCACACCCTGTTGTACCCTGTGGACAATGGTAGACTGGCGGAATATCTCTTCTGCCTCCTCCTTGCTTAGCTCCATTAAGAATGCTTCATCTCCCTGTTTCCCCCATGACTTGAATAATTCCATATACTTCTTGAAGTCCACAGGTAACTGGTCCATCACTATAATAATCATCTGATGCCGAGAATCTGATATAAACATACAATAAACAACAATAATACTTGTACTTTGTTTTCTATATATGGTTTCTATCTTTATCCATATGCAGCTTATTGTACACTTTGTAATTATATATATATCCCAGGGCATTTTTCCTAGATTTTGGGAACATGACCAATACAAATGGAATTGCGAATTTCAGCAATGTTGTGTTAAAAAATTGGGAAAAATTCCATGACTTTAATTTTGCAGTAATACCCCGGTCACATATTCACGGAATACGCCCACGGAAGAGCCACGGATTAATTCCGGCATCGTCCGTAGCTACCCGTACTGGTCATTAGCTCTCCGTATTGTAACCGTAATCAATCGTAGTAGTCCTTGTATATCCGTAGCGATCCTTGACAAATTTTGAACATGCACAAAATTTTGCTACGGAAAAATCAACCGTAGCGTATCCCTACTAGTCCGTATTAATCCGTACTGATACGTACTGGTCCGTATGAAAACCGTTCTAGTCCGTACTGATTCGTAGTCCACCAACTTGTCAAGGATTTCCACGGTTTTGTACGGAGAACTACGTTTTTGTACGGATACCCTACATATAAGCTACGGTTTTAATACGGATTAATACGGCATTGTCACGGAAAGCCACGATCGTAATACGTTGCACTACGGAGAGGCAAGGATTAGCACGGTCTTATACGGTTTATTGCGTTGCAACACAAAACGGTATGAAATGGTACGGTCCACCACTGTTTAGTACGGATGAATAAAGTATCATGTACTTTTTCAAGGGTATAAATACTACCTTCTTGTTAAAAACAGACATATTTGCGGAGACATTTAATTAATGATAATTGCCATTTACTGGCTGCAACTTTATATTGAAATGGCTCAGAATGCGGAGGCAGTGGTCGAGCTGCTTGATGACATACATAGAAGTAAATTTATATTAATATCGTACTACAATTCATAAGTAATAGAATAACATTTAATGTTACATATTTTACAAACATTGGATCGTGAAATTGGAGTAAATATGTACATAAAACAAAGTGTCTCATAAGCCTCGGAGGCTGGCCCTTGAATGATAATAAGATTAGTTAACAAGCTTTTTACTTATTTTTCAAACATAAACATCACGATAATTAATGTTATTGTAAGACGAACAGCAAATCTTAAAATTAAAAGAGAAGCAGTATTGATCAACATTTTTCATTAATGATAACTAGTCCATATCTAATCAGGTAAGAGGAGACAGACGAGATGGTGGACTAGAGATGGGCTGTTACAAAGACCGCTTCAAGTTTAGTATGAGGCTCTCATGGCCGAACTTGTTGAGGATCCAGCGTCTTTCAAGAAATTCACTTTAATCGGACCTGATGTGTCTCGGGGGTCGGACGCGATTAGGCCGAGTCCTCTCCGCCAAAATCATTGAACTCTGCAATTCGTTTTGAGGCATTTTGAAAATGAGCAAGCAAGAGGTTGCGGACGGATGTATAAGGTCCGTATAGATCCGTGGCAATTCGTTCTTCTCCGTATCAATACGTTCTTCTCCGTATCAGACCGTACTTATTCGTTCTAACCCGTGCTTATACCGTAGCAGACCGTAGTGTATCCGTAGTGCGTCCGTCCTGATTTGTGTCGCTCCGTATCAAACCGTGTCGGTCCGTAACAATCCGTGTCTCTCCGGGGACTTTTGGTGGTAAATCCGTCGGACTCTGTACTCATACCGTTGTGTGTCCGTACTGGAACCGTAGCGAACTACGAAATTTCACATTTCCGTAGTAATCCGTGAACAATTAGACCGTAGCTCTTCCGTAGCATTATCCGTGAATATGTGACCGGGGCATAAATGAATGCAAAAAATCACTGTCTAAAATGGCAACTTAAAACATTTTAATACCATCAAAGTGAAGAAACCCTTATTTTCAAAGATTTCATAATTTGTTATTCAATATTTTCATTTTGTAACTTTCAATTAGGAATTTTTTCCTGTTTTTTTCTTTGTTTGTATCATTTTACGCCTTTTCCCAATAGTATTTCAGTCACATAGGCGGGTAGTTTCCTAACCATCATTCCTGGAGAGTGACACCAGTACTAGACTTCTTTCCTCCGCGCTAAACTACCAAAGCATCTCCCAGGGATCGAGCCCACGCCAGGGAGGTAAATGGATTAGAAGTCATCGACTCTAACCACTCGACCACGAAGGCGTTTATTTTTCCTGTGGATTGGGAAAATAATATACTATATTCAATTGGGAATATGATCGAATAATTGGGTTATAAATTTTAAAAAAAAATCCTTGTATCCTTTAAGTTCAAATAAATATTAACACAAAAGTTTTTAAACATGTAGACATACAGTCTTGACAGAGAATAACTTTATCTGCATAACATATACCCACGAACACTGGTGGAATATTAAATATTGCAAAGTAAGTACACTGGTCATAACAACAATGTTTAGGTCAGGTGTGCAAAACTGCTTAATTCTATGATTAAGAAATCATTAGGCATAATAATAAACCTTGAAATGTTCATGATCTCATTTTCAGGACTTTGTTTTTCAGCACTGCTACCTAATAACCTTCACTTTAATTTAATCAATGATCAATTTTACGATTTGCTATAACAGGTACCAGTAACCATGACCTTTGACCTGAAAATGGGTGTGACCAATAAAACTCATCAAGATACATCCACATATTAAGTTTCAGTTAATATAAATGACCAAAAACAAAAACTTAACAAATTTAGGATACCCAATGCTGATGTTGCTGAGTTTGTCATAACATTGGCTGTATTTTTTCATTGAAAAAAAAAGCTAAAAACTTAAAGCAGTAATTATAGCAAGTATATAATAAACCCACCTGTTCCTAAGGGATCATAATAGTGTTCTGGAGGGGGTTTACTGGGGTCAGGGTAAACAACCATTCCAAGATCTTTCCTTGTTCGTACAGCACAACTTTGTGTTGTAAAAAAAAATATCAAGTTTGTCTCGCTTTCAAACCTGGTCAAGCACTGCTGAATTTCCTGTGGGTAAATGTGAAATGTGTGTGTACCAGTAGCACCTGAAAATCATTAAGAATCACATAATCACCTGCCACACAACACTTTACACTGGAAAATCATCACTGGCCACCATAGTTATGAAGATGTGTTAATGCGTGAAAAGTAAATATTGATTTAGAATAACATTACAGACAAAAACTTCAAATATAAACTGGAGTATGTAGTGTAATCTAAAAAACAAAGAAATTACAGGTTTATGTAATTCACATTGAAAGATTAAAAATGAATTTTACCTAATATTTCAAGCTATCTAAAACAAAATTTCATACGTGAATAACAAAGATAACACACAGATGGATATCAATTTAAATGGTAATTCATTGAGAAACTTCAAGTGTACAGAAAGAATAAATGATTCTTATTCATAAAGAAACAATACAAAAGATTAGACACACACTAGCACATGCATTAAACCTTTCTTAAATTTTACAGCATATTACAAAAGACATTTATTGCTAGAAAACTCAACTGACAAACAAAAAACATAGCCTGTTATGCACTTATATATTTATTACCTTCAATAAAGAAGTTAAGTCCAGTGTTGGAGATAAGTATAGGCTCTACAGGTGCCCCCCTGAATGTGCCCACCCATACAGTCCTGGCATTTAATGTAAGCTCGATAGGTGAAGGAGATTTCTCCCAGACTGCACCAGGTGCACCCTCCTGAAACATAATATATATTATTTTGCATAAAAGAAGTTAGTAAACTGCCAACAAGAACTTCTTAAGAAAGGGTAAACATGAATTTTATAATGTTAAAATAATGACTTTAGAGAATGTAAGATGCTTGTTACTAGAAGAAAGTATAACTGTGAAATAATTTGTTATAAAAGTAACAAAATGTAAATAAATAGTATTTTAACTTCCATACAAAATACTTATTGACAGCAACTGCAACTGTACTTATTGCCAAAGAGCAACAGATGAGATGGGTGGTTCTGGTAATTGGCCAATGAGTATCTTTTTGGCTACTAAAAAGTACACCAAAATTTAAAAGCTTTTGAGAAATAGAAATAAAAGCAATTCTGAGGCATAGTGGATCTTTAAAGTCTTTTATATTCTCAGACATCTTTTATAACAAAATTAGTCTGGTAAACTTAATTAAAAATAGAAATTAAACAAATAAAAAAAACATACAAAACATACCACATCTTCCATCATTTTTACCCTGGCTTTTTCTCCTTCCTTCAATGTTATAGGTACGTTGGTAAACTGTGTAATAAAACAAGAGCTGTCGGTAGGACAGCAACGCTCGACTATTCTTAGTGCTTGATATTAAAAAAAATGCTTGATACAATTACCTGACCTCCTGTTTACAGGTTGGGGTCATGATGGTGAACAAGTGTGCAAAGAGTGTGCAAAGTTTCAAAGCCATATGTCAATGGACTTAGAAAATATTTGAACTATTACAAAAACTTTAACGTAAATTCTAAGTCGAAAAAGGGGCATAATTCTGCCAAATGTTTCATAGAGTTACCTCCTCCTGTCTACAGGTTAGGGTCATGATGATGAACAAGTGGGCAAAGTTTCAAAGCCATCTGTCAATAGACTTTGAAAATATTTGAAGTATTACAAAAACTTTAATGAAAATTATAAGTCGAAAAAGGGGCATAATTCTGTCGAAATGCTTGATACAGTCACCTCCACGTGTCTACAAGTTGGGGTCATAATAGAGAACAAATGTGCAAAGTTTCAAAGCCGTATGTCAATGGACTTTGAAAATGTTTGAGGTATTACAAAAACTTTAACATAAGTGGTTACGCCGACGCGGACACCAACGCCGACGCCGACGCTCTGGTGACTTCAATAGCTCTACTTATTCTTATCGATTAGTCGGGCTAAAAAGGAGATTTGTGTACCACGAAGAAAACAAACATAAATTGGTTCAAATCATTTTAATTTATATTTTCTTTTCAACAAACAATAATTTAAAACCCTTAAATCTTTAATGTGTCATAATTTTACAGCCTTGTCAATTCAAAATCATTGTTACACTAGTGCAACTCCCAAGTGAAAAAGATTATGTGGGACCTTTTTTTACAGACTTTTAAACAGGTATCTCAACACAAGTGTGATATCATGGACATTGACCATGGATGTCATAAAAGATTCCTCAAAATTGGTTTTGAACATGAAAAGAATGGACATTGTCCATGGAAAGAATGGACATTGTCCATGGTAAGAATGGACATTGTCCATGGTAAGAATGGACATTGTCCATGGACATCATGGACATTGTCCATGGGTATCATGGACAATGGACATGGAAAGCATGGACTTGGATAGCATGGACACTGTCCAGGGATATAAAGAATTGTCCATGGACAAGTGTTTCAATACTCCATGGACACTGTCCATGCTTATATCCATGGAAATACATTGACATTCTGTAGCCGGGTCCTCCTGTTTACAGGTTGGGGTCATGATGGTGAACAAGTGTGCAAAGTTTCAAAGCCATATGTCAATGGACTTTGAAAATATTTGAACTATTACAAAAACTTTAACGTAAATTCTAAGTCGAAAAAGGGGCATTATTCTGTCAAAATGCTTGATACAGTTACCTCCTCCTGTCTATAGGTTGGGGTCATGATGGTGAACAAGTGTGCAAAGTTTCAAAGCCATATGTCAATGGACTTTGAAAATATTTGAACTATTACAAAAACTTTAACGAAAATTCTAAGTCGAAAAAGGAGCATTATTCTGTCAAAATGCTTGTAATTGTTCCCTCCTTCTGTCTACAGATTGGGGATCATGTTGGTGAACAAGTGTGCAAAGTTTCAAAGACATATGTCAATGGACTTTGAAAATATTTGAGGTATTACAAAAATTTTAACGAAAATTCTAAGTCGAAAAAGGGGCATAATTTTGTCAAAATGCTTGATATAGTTACCTCCCCCTGTCTACAGGTTGGGTCATGATGGTGAACAAATGTGCAAACTTTGAAAGCCATATGACAATGGACTTTGAAAATATTTAATGTATTACATAAACTTTAACGTAAATTCTAAGTCGAAAAAGGGGCATTATTCTGTCAAAATGCTTGATAGAGTTACCTCCTCCTGTCTACAGGTTGGGGTCATGATGGTGAATAAGTGTGAAAAGTTTCAAAGCCATATGTCAATGGACTTTGAAAATATTTGAACTATTACAAAAACTTTAACGTAAATTCTAAGTCGAAAAAGGGGCATAATTCTGTCAAAATGCTTGATAGAGTTACCTCCTCCTGTCTACAGGTTGGGGTCATGATGGTGAACAAGTGTGCAAAGTTTCAAAGCCATATGTCAATGGACTTTGAAAATATTTAAACTATTACAAAAACTTTAACATAAGTGGTTACGCCGACGCCGACGCAGATGCCGACGCAGACTCTCGGGTGACTACAATAGCTCTACTTATTCTTATCGAATAGTCGAGCTAAAAATCAGGTGTAAAGCCAGGTACCACCATTTGATGTTGTCTCAGACAGATTTGATGTACAGTCTGATACCAATTTTTTTAACTTGGGCGGTACAAATTACAGTCCCGTTCTAATTGGTATTCATCAAAATAATCAAATGAAATTTATGGATGTTGTATTATTTCCCAGAAATATTATAAACAACATTATGAATAATATATTATATTTTTAACTAAAGTTTACTAGACCTTTTTGCATAATTTGTGTGACTGATAATTCTGAGTAAGTTAATTTCTCATCGCTCATTGGACATAAAATGTAAATCTGACAAAACATGCAGCTGACGCATAAAGGTAAGAATAGGCGGATGCGCCGTTATATACATGTACTCATTCACTGTTTTTGTATATAAAGTATTTTAAATGAATTCAATTTTGTATTTATTTCTGTTGGTTCAATCTTAGGTTTCTAAATGTGACTGTTTCACAAGGAAGATTTTCTCTGCTGCCCGACAACAGGACAGTCACTAAATACTGATGTTTCATTGTGTATCATGTCTAATGCTTTTAGGCATGAATTACTTTTTCATTAAATCACAAAAATATTAATAATGTTTATCTCATTTATCTAATGTTCTTTGCAACAGTTACCAGGTTACATTGAATGTAACATGTAACACATGTTAACCCTGATTCTGAGATTCTGTCACAACGTTTAATTTTTTTTATTAAATGCTTTTATATAACGGAGATGGGACTTTTTATTAGACATAAGTGTATCATCTTAAGTTTCAGTGCGTCTTCCCTACGCAGGTAACACAAGCAGATGTGGCGACATGTCTGCATTTCCAAGGACCTTTATGTTTCAGGCTTTTAATTGCAGTAAAACATGCTGCTTGGCTCCAGGGTGCATGCTAAAAATACAGTACTTTTACATTGCCAGTTATAACATGTTTCTTCAACCAAGCATTAACAAAGAAAAAGTTGGTACAACGAAACCATTTTAATTGTAAACAAGGGTGCCATAGTCACAAAATACGCCCGTTTACGAAAGCTTTAGATGGAGATGGGGGCATTATGGATAAGTGTTATCTAGCAAGCAAGTTTTTATTCTTGGCACTGTGTTGTTAAATGAACCTTAAAACAAATCAGTAGGGAAAATATGCACAGGATGTGTGACCTTGACCTTGGTCGCAGGGACCTGAATTTTATGCACGGCACTCAGCCTCAAAATGATGAACATTTGTGCCAAATTATATTGAAATCCCTCTATGCATGTGGCAGTTTTGCTCCAGACAAGCGTTTTTCTATGAGCTCTAGCTGTGACCTTCACCTTTGACCTAGAGACTTGGTTCATGTGCAGGGCACTACGTCTCATGGTGGTGAACAATTCTATAAAGTAACATTAAAATTCCTCCATGCATGTAGAAAATATGCTCCGGACAACATCTGGATATTTAATAATCTCCAGTGACCTTGACCTTGCAAATATTAACCTAAATTAAATGTGTCACACCTGTAGTCATGATAGTTACCATTTGTGCTACAATCCATCAATAAATGATGACTAAATGGTCCCTATACACATCTTCAAATTTTTATCTGAACTTTGACCTCTATGTGTAACCTTGACTTTGGTCGCAGGGATCTGAATTTTGAGTGCGACACTCAGCCTCACAATGGTGAACATTTGTGCCAAGTTATATTGAAATCCCCCTATGAATGTAGAAGTTTTGCTCCGGACAAGCGTTTTTCAATGAGCTCTAAGTGTGACCTTGACCTTTGACCTGGAGACCTGGATCATGCATGGAGCAATACATATCATGGTGGTGAACATTTCCATAAAGTATTATAAAAATTCTTCCATACATGTAGGATTTATGCTCCAGACAAAATCTGGATATTTCACCATCTTTAGTGACCTTGACCTTGCATATATTGACCTAAAGTACATGTGTCACAGCCGTAGTCATGATAATGACCATTTGTGTTACAATCCCTCAATAAATGATGATTAAATCGTCCCTATACACATCTTCATATTTTTATGTAAACTTTGACCTCTATGTGTGACCTTGACCTTGGCTGCAGGGACCTGATTTGTGCGCGACACTCCGCCTCACAATGGTGAACATTTGTGCCAAGTAATATTGAAATCCCTCTATGAATGTGGAAGTTTTGCTCCGGACAAGCGTTTTTCAATGAGCTCTAAGTGTGACCTTGACCTTTGACCTAGAGACCTAGTTCATGTGCGTGACATTGCTTCTCATAATGGTGAACATTTCTATGAAATTTCATTAAAATCCCTCCATGCGTGTAGGAGATATGCTCCGGACAAAATCTGGATATTTCATCATCTTTAGTGACCTTGACCTTGCATATATTGACCTAAATTATATGTATCACAGCCATAGTCTTGATAATGACCATTTGTGTTACAATCCCTCAATAAATGATGACTAAATGGTCCATATACACATCTTCATATTTTTATCTGAACTTTGACCTCTATGTGTGACCTTGACCGCAAGGACCTGAATCTTGCGCGCGACACTCCGCCTCACAATGGTGAACATTTGTGCCAAGTAATATTGAAATCCCTCTATACATGTGGAAGTTTTGCTCTGGACAAGCATTTTTCAATGAGCTCTAAGTGTGACCTTGACCTTTGACCTAGAGACCTGGTTCATGTGCGCGACACTGCTCCTTATAGTGGTGAACATTTCTATGAAGTTTCATTAAAATCCCTCCATACATGTAGGAGATATGCTCCGGGCAAAATTGGACGCCGCCGCCCCCACCGCCCGACCGACCGC